GTCACCATGCTATATACACTTTTAAAGACACATAAAACTAATTGTCGTTTCATAATCATGCATTTTTCCATACGTACATTATATTCAACTGTCTCTAGAAGTAATTGCAAATCACCCCGCACAGCTGGCTGAGGCTGCTATTATCCATCCCTTAAATTCCAGCGCAGTTGGCAAGGTTTTCCAAATCACACCATGCTTATATAAAGCAAACTGTAAAATATTTATTAACACCTATCTAATTAATCCTCTCTCTCTCTCTCTCTCTCTCTCTCTCTCTCTCTCTCATTAAAATTAATTAGACAAAAATATCAAAACGTTTTAAAAAGATTTTAATGACACTACTTCATATTAGGTAATGTAGCACAGAGATTCATTCTAGAGAAAAGTGAGGTTTTAGACATAATTCCTATCATTATTTTGAGAGAAACGATAATAAGGAACCTGCAGGCTGCTTTCGTTCAACAGAACCAATGTATCCTCAGTTGCCCAAAATTAATGTGTTCTGCTTTAAATGGCCCTCAACCACAGGTCAGACCACATTATTATGCATCTTAGCTTTAAATTACATAAAATACATAACCATGCATTCCCTCACACTTGGAGTTCACCTCACCATTCTCAATATAGGCCCCCTTACCACACTATTCAGCTGACATATTTGCCATTTTACTTATTGGAGTAGTCAGTGCTTTTTTGAGGTTGGCACATGCATGCATCTCAGTAATGCCCCCATAAACCACATATGCTCCTGTCATGCTATGACTGAGGCACTGCATTTTTGCAAAACATGAAAGTTTTGCAATAACATGCAGATTCCTAAGCAAATAGAAAGTTCAAGAGATTTAGGCCACATCTCGAATGTATTCTTGATTAACCCTCATGCTGTTTTGGGTCTGAAAAACCTCAAACCCTTTTAGATAGCTCACATGCATTCATTTAAAGGGGTCATATGATGCGATTTAAATTTTTCCTTTCTCTTTGGAGTGTTACAAGCTCTTGGTGCATAAAGAAGATCTGTAAAGTTGCAAAGACTAAAGTCTCAAATCCAAAGAGACATTCTTTATAAAAGTTAAGAGTCAGCCACACCTACCTAAAACGGCTCGTTCTAACACGCCCCCACATACCTACGTCACTATCTGGGAAGATTTGCATAACGCCGCCCAAATGTTCACGAGTCTCAAATCCAAAGAGATATTCTTTATAAAAGTTAAGAGTCAGCCACACCCTCCTAAAATGGCTCGTTCTAACACACCCCCACACATCTACCTCAATATTTGGGAAGATTTGCATAACGCCACACAAATGTTCACGCAAAGAAAGAAGGC